GATGATAAGAGTGACAGATTTTAGAAATTCCATCCTGGACAAGGGATCAAACAGAATGCTAATATACTAAGGTTTACACAATAGGAAGAATAGATATAAAGGAGTACAAAAATCAAAACTTACATTTGACAATTAGCAGAGGGATCATATTTCTTATCTTCAACAGCTCCCCTTCCTCCTTCAATGAACTGTAAAGAAAAATATTCTAAGAAACAAAATCAGTACACAGTCTGGTCAGGACCTGAAAATATTTGATTGACAATTTCTGGATGAAGGAAAAAGTTACAGGGCATGCCCATCCAAGATGTTTATATTTTCTTCTCTCTAATTCAGGATCTTTTACCTTTGGTGGTTCCCTAGCTGCTGCTGCTTTGGAAGAGACCTCACCCTCTTCCTCATATAGAGACAGTGGTGATGGTCCTGTGGAGCTGAGTGCATCTATTGGATATAGGCAACAGATTTTGGCATGAGGTCTATTTCTGATCCTCATGTTAGAAAATTCAGATAGAAAATATGAAAGAACAAATGCTATGAAAAGATGATATATAGGTTCTAAGGTCCTAAAAATCAAATAAAATGAGAGAAGTGCAAGAATGAAAGAGTTTCTTGCTTTTCCTTCTCATTGACATCTGTTAATTGGCTGTAATTTAAGAGTTCTTGTCTGTAATTATTTATAATGAATCATGGAAAAAAAAAATCCAACTCATTTGCTTCTAAATCTTTCAGCTTGAATTTATTTAACCCTTTTGGAGATGACATTTTCTTTTAGTTTGATTTGAGGGACAGCAACTTCACTAATTATGCAATGAAAATCAATTTCTTATAATTGAGACAATATTTGAATTCTAATGGACATACCTCTAAAAACTTGTCACCATTAAGTGTCTTATGGACAGTAAACAGATACATAAACAAATGCAGGTTTATGCCTAAGCACGCATGTGGGGAAATGATTTGTTACTCGTTAGTTATGAGTTATACAAGGTACATTTCTAAGTTGTAAATGACAATATTTGGAGTTGAAGCTAAGAATCTATAGTGAATTTTAGGACCCTGTTTGACCACCTACTGAATGAAGGTCATTTTAGCATCTAATTAAATATGCCAAGTCACATACCAAAAAGAAAAACATGCCATAGATACCTAGATATAGAAGAAAGTCCAGAGAAGATGCGGATCATTTATGCAAAATTTTCACAACCTATAAAGCAACATCTTAATCACAGTAAAGTAACACAAACAATAATTTCTCTTCCTTTTTTCCCCCCCTTTTTTGATGTTTTATGATTCAAACCCAATATTCCCCCCCCCCCCCCCCCCCTTTTTTTTGATGTTTTATGATTCAAACCCAATATTTCAAGCTTTGATTCTTGAGATTGAATTCTTGTCCCAATAAGATTAGAGAGACACTCCCATGTGTGCAGACATAAGACATGAATTTACTTGAACTAGAATGAACAGGGAATGAACCTTCAAACCAAATTATTTGAAGACAATCAAAGATCTATAATCCTAAGAAATGAAAAAACTAAACTCTTTCTCAGCGGAAAAATAATTAGAATCATGATTTATTAGCTTCAAATTTCTGTAGAACAACAAAAGCATATCTTTAGTGCAATGGAAGGATTCTATTTCTACCTGACCCTATTCCCTAGAAAAGACAAACCAAGATGTTCTCACTCTCTCTTTCTCTAGTTTCTTCTTTTCTACTTCTTATGTTCATTTTTGTCAGTACAGCACCAAGCCACTCAAATGATGTGATCTTTCCTTACCACAAAAGAACTTTCCTCACTCATACTAAGTCAATGATGGAAACATTAGTACTGCACACTTGTAGATTTGTTTTCCTCTCATCAGTCATCACCCAGTTCTAGTTTTTAATCTAAAGCCCTCAATTTATTTCCCTAGTTAATCTATTGAAAGTGTGATAATCAGGTACAAGACAGCAATGACAAATATGGTTCAAAGCAAGCAAAACTTTCAATGGTAAATTAACACTGTGAAACCAATTGCCACTGGGGATATTACCGCCCGATAATTACTCTTTTGGTGTCATAGTGTATAAGATATCAAATTCATCTCAAATAGTAATGAAATGAATGAAATCAGTATGAAAAGGAATGCTAAGTCATTATTGCATAGTTAGCCACCGTTTTCCAAGCATAACTCCACAGACCTATGATGTAATATTAAGATACCGAATCAGTATAATTAAAGCAGAGAACTACCTTACTTTTATGTGGGCATAAAAGTGTGTTTTCATGAGGTGATCACAAATATTATCAACATAACCACTGCAAGCCTTTAAAGCTTCCTTGGCCTTCCCATCTTTGGCTTTTGCACTTCTCCAATCCTGCATGATCAAGCCTATTGCCATTTAGTACAGAAGCAGTTGCTTATCAGACTAATGGATGGAAAATTCAACTAGATTAATAATCTTTTGGTGAAGCTTTGCAAACACATCCAATGCATAAGTTTATAATATAACTCTAGATCTATTAACTTAACTTTTTAATCTCTCATGATCACTTCAAGAATAAATTAATCCCATGATCACTTCAACAATAACTTAAGTTACATAACAACGAGATCAGCCTACATTTCCCTTACACAACCTAACGCAAAGAAAGGCATCTATAGGTGGAGATGTATGGAAACCCAGGTTAAAGAGAAGACGAATATTGTCAGTGAAGAAGAAAAAATGATTAATCTAAACTCATTGACATTGATGTTGATATTAACGCCAGAGAAGAAGATATTACCTTATTAAAGAAAAGTCTGAAAGCAATCCTAGAAACTAGGAAGGTAAGATTTCTATTCTCTATCTAAGAGAAGGTAAAATTTCTAGCAGCATTTTTGTCATTAGGAACAAATCCTGTTTTGTCCATCACATGAAGCCATGAATAGAAAACCTAGGAAGAAAAAGAGAGAAGATGGTTCAGCATTTTGCAGTTTCTGCAAAAAGTGTAATTGAAAATTAGATACATAACCTATGAAAAACTGGTTATCTTCTGAGAGAAATTACATTTTTCAAGAATCATTAACATACAAGTCACTGACAAGAAACTGCAGATCTTCTGAAAAAGAACTATATACCATTTATAATGTAGGATTACAGGGTTATTTAAATACACTTCCTTCTTCTTCTAAATCTGCTGTTAAGCAAAGACTTCCAAGAAAATATTGAATAATTCATGGATACAAAGAGAAATAATTAGAAGGAACACAATAGAGATCCTACTTTCATATCTGTCAAACAATAAAAGTAAGACGACTGCAAAAATGCAGAAACAGACCTGATTTCTCTTTCTTCCAGAGATCTCTACACAAACACTCTTCAGTTACTTGTTCTGAGTAGGGTTCGAAGCACTTGGTGGGGCCTTTTTTAGACCTGCCTCCATATCTTTCTTCGGATCTTGAGTGGCTCCACTTGACTTGTTTTGATTAGCAGGAAAAGAAGCAAAAGAACCTAGCAATCTCCTGGGTTGAGCTCTAAACTGTGGAATATTTCTATCATGGTGACAAGACAGTGCCAAGCAGATGAGCAAACGGAAGAGAATCAAAGTAAATAAAGCAACCAAAGCTTTTTGAATGGATTTCATGGTGCTGTTAGTTGAAAAAGAAATGCAGCAGAGATGGGTTTGGAGCTAAGGCATTTGAAGATATCCTTCACATAAGGTGGCAGAGGAAGCTTTTTAGATATTTTTTCTGCTCAAATAAAAATTCTAATATATAGTTGTACCTTGCCAATAACTACTTTCTAATAGAAATCTGTTTGGTTGCTAAAAATACCTATTCTGATTAGTACAGCTAGTCACTCAGTTAGTATTACAGCTAAAGCTAATAACAGAATCAGCAGGGTTTAAAGAAATAGATCTGAACCCATTTTGATCAGGATAAAAAAAAAAAAACTAGAACAAGGATAATCTTATACATGATAAATCAAGGACAATGTGAGATATTGGACAACACTGGTTTAGACGAAGGTAACAGCATCAAGGAAGGTAAAAAAGGTACTAAAATAAGGACAAAGCACATTGCAGGATTCCCACTCACACTCATAATACAAATTGGAATGTTTTTTTAGTGGATATTCAACAAGGAAAAAAAAAAAAACATATTGGAATTTGAAGAGCAGCATAAATTTGACTACTCATCAACCCCAGTAAAATTGCATGTGCAAGATATATTCTTATTAATTTTTCTTCTTGTTCTTTAATAGGTTGGAATGTGGAAACAGTTGATCATGTGATTTTGAATTTAGTATTATATTTCTCTGACTTCTCTGCAGTCACAAAATATTAGATAACATAGTCTCATATGACTTGTCACATGAAACCAAAAGAATCACCTTGTGCTATGTCATATCTAGACTATAAAGTAACTAACCAGTTTTGCTCCTCTAATTAGAGTTGAACAATAACAGCTAAAGTTAGCTGCGTAATCTTACTTTCTGTGAATGAATCACCCACCGTGTTCCAAGAATTCCCCCCTCTCTTTCATTTCTACCATCTAGTATCTTGTTTAATTGACCTTGCTTGCTATTTCCAGTGACTGCCCTACAACATAATATTTTTCCAACATGAAATATAGCTGGCTTGTCAGAAATGATGAAGTGCCTTTGGATTCATACATGTATTATAATATGAAATCTTTGGCAGGGCTACTTGTCTTCCTAAGTTCCAAAGATTGAGAGAAAAAGGAACATGGATTTCAGTAACTAGTTGACATTTTTATATAAATCCATACAGCTACCAAATCCCATTAACAATTTCAAAAATCTAGTTAAAAGGATTTATTTTCTATATTAAACAGGTTTTCCACCATAAAACTAAATGATGCTGCATCAAAGATAAGCCAGTATTTGAACTTGATAGAGATAGGAAGCTAAAAAAGATCATTGCAAAGTGGTCAGGAAGATAGAATGGGAAAATGTATATACAAGATCTTGCTAAAGAATTCTTGGGAGTTTATTTGAAAGAAATATTTGGAAAGTCTCATTGAAAAGAATGATTGCTTGTGCTCTTGAAATTATTTCATTAAGATCACCACTACCATAGGCTTCCCAACCATTTTAATGAAAAAAGGAAATTGGAAACTCATAAGACTCTAATTTAGATCAAGTGATACAAAATTACTTAGACCAGACGTCAAAAGAATTATCCCAGACAATTTTACAGAGTTGCTTCACTTCCCTGACATAGTTCCAGGAAACTACCAGTTTCCATCAAACAGTTTTTCACTGCTATACAGTCTGCCATTTCAGTTGGCAGATGAAAGCTAGATGAATTCCCCCATAGTTCAGGAAAAAGATGAAACAAGTAACAAGAGTATAGATCTTTCAATTTATTCAAAGAAAACCAATTAAAAAATCAAAAGTATTGCCTGCTCGCAACAGTATGCATGGATTGAGTATTTAATGTTTTGTGTTTTTCAAAATGATTTCCTCATTCCAACACGCATCAACAAGAATCACATAATTGGATTGACTAGCACAAACAGAAGGATAATCATTTT